TACTAGCTCAACCAACTTGGAGAGGCGATCGATGTGAAAATTGCTCCTGTAGAGTTTATAACGGGAGACAGGGCATAAGGTGAAAGCACGAAAGCAGTTACGTAAGCTGGCGAGAAAATGATTGGGGAAAGAACAAAAGGTGAAAGAACAAGAGGTGATAGTACATTAGGTGTGCCGATGAATGGCGTTAGAGCAAAAGGGGTTAAAATCAAAGGAGTCATCACTTGAGGTGAAAGAATAAAAGGAGATAGGACTAGAGGTGAAAGCACGAAGGGATTCATGATGCCCGGAGAAAGAATGACCGGCACGAAAGCCAAGGGTGTAAGGATAATCGGAACAAATGCAAAAGGTGAAAGTACCACAGGTGAGAATATTCGTGGAGAAAGCACAACCGGAATGAACAACCACGGTGAGAGCACAACTACTCCGAAAATGGCAGGCGAACAGACGAGAGCTGACAAATAGACAGGTGATAGGATTACAGGCTGACTGACGGCAACTGGATCATTTATGAAAAGGCCACTAATAGGGGATAAGACAATGGCACGTTTGTGACGCGGTTGGGGCTTTGTGACCAATTTCACCGCTCCGTTTTTAGCTTCGAATTGCAATCGACCGTCAGCGATGCCGCGCACTGTATCGCGTACTGTCCGGTGCACATCGCTGTCGCTGACATTACGGATCAAATTGAGCGTTGCGGAGTTGTTGTATGGCGATGATGGCCCGTAGAAAAATTCACGTTGTGCTGGAGTCAAAATCGCGTACCCGGTGCGATTCATCTCTCGTTCCTGGAAAACATTAATTTTAGAAGTGGTACATTTGTGCTAGAAGTGGGGGCTCTTTCGTCCATGTGAACTTGACCGGTTCTGGTTCATAAGCCCCAGAATTTGAATTGTTGTAAGAAATATAAATAAAGTCACCCCAACTTCACTCTCCTATCTCTCCTTTATAAAGGCCCCTCGAGTATGCGAAATGCTTTTGTGAAAGTAGAGCACTTTGCTTTTTGGTATAATATTTCTTTCTCGCCCACTGGACTTCTCCAGCAGCACTTGCCCTATGCTTAACGTTCTGGCGAACGTTTTGATATTCTTCTTTCACTCCCTAATGTGCCAAGGCACTATCAGAGCAGGTCTAAACAACTTTTTGCTTGACAAAAACAAAGATAAGCTCAGAGCTCATGGGTACAGTTCGCTTCAGCCGACAGCCGAGGTCAACGATCCTGGCTCGAAAAATACATCCCTTTATCGAAACCCACCTAAATTGACGTTCTTTCACATGAATTTTTCCCGCTTCGCACACCCGGGCCAGAGGAAGTTTGCTACATCAGTCATCGTCGAAAC